TCTGTATCTACCTTCCCCCAAATCCAACATTTTCGGTACCATCTATTTGTGACAACTCTCAAAATTACTTCCCCAGACTTGGTCTCTTTCCAGAATCATAGATCTATATATCCAACTCCTACTCAATATCTCCATAAGATTTTCTGGTAAACATCTCAAAATCAACATAGTCCAAACAGAATTATTAAATTGTTTTTTACAAATTTGCTGCACTCCCAATTTTTAAATAGTACAGCCATTCACATAGTTGAGTAAAAAAAATCTAGGTATTATCTTTCATGCTCCACCTTCAAGTTGTATTGACTGTACCTCCAAAACCCATCTTCTGTCTTCTGTCAAGCTATTGTCTGCTTTCCCTACACAGGTGAGCCTGAACAGCATGGGGTTGAACTGCATGGGTCCATTTACATATGAATTTTTTCAATAAATACTTAATTATATTTTCTCTTTTTTATGATTTTCTTCATAACAATTTCTTCCTATACCCTACTTTATTGTTAGAATATAGTATATAATACATATAACATACAAAATATGTGTTAATTGACTGTTTATGTTATTGGTCAACAGTAGGCTACTACAGCTTAAGTTTTGGGGGAGTCAAAAGTTATACGAGGACTTCTGACTGTGTGAGGAGATCAGCACCCCTGGCCCCCACATTGTTCAAAGGTCAACTCCACTATCATACTGTATTCTTATACCTGATCCCTTGCTTTTACTTGATTCTTCTACAATCCCCTCTATAATTTCCTACATAGTAGTCAGAGAGTACATTTTAATTTACATTTTGAAATGTAAATTAAATCATGTCACTCCTTTCCTTTAAAATCTCTGGTGGCTTCTCATCATTCACAGGAAATCCAAAACAAATTAATAAAGTTAATTCAATCTCCTCAGCCACCTTATGGAAACCTAGCCCTGCCTACTCCAGTGACCTCTTAAATTTCTAACTGCACCTACCAACACTAGGCCTCCATGAATACTTCAAGCAAATTCCCTGCCTTTAGGCATTTGGACCCTCTCTGTGGGTCTCTGTGATCTTCTCACACTTAAAATTTCTCCTTTTTTTTCAAATGATATAACTACTATAAAGTCTTCTGACTACTATGTAACCAAAAGTAGCCACCCTATCATTGTATTCTAATTTCTTACATTATAGTTATCCTTACTTGATACTCTCTTTCTTCCTTCCTTTCCTTCTTCCTCTTCTTTAGTTAATACATTTTCTATTACTTTTCTACTTTGTGTCTTCTAATTGCCACTAATAGAATATGACTTCTACAAATAGGGGTACCTTACCTTTCTGTTCTTTGCTCTATCCCTAGCATCTAGACTAGCACATGTTTGGCACACAGGAGATGCTTAATAATTATTTAATTAATTTGTAAATGATTGAATGTTTCAGATATAATCACTTGGTTTAAAATTAGTTTATATACAGATCATTTGATTACAGTTTTTTATTATCTGACCTCATAATTATATGACCTCATAAAGTTAATAATTGGTCAGTTCCTTTGTGAGGTGGATGACCAGGCTTGGATGTAGGAGGCAGCCCTAGAATTCTCTAAAGGACAGTTTCTAAAACCCACATATGACACAGGATTTGGGCTATATCAAGAAAATTAAAATCCATTAAAGTCTAAATATGTCAAATTTACTATCAAGAAACTATGGCTAGAAAAAGTTACTTTGGGGAATTTCCATCTCTAACCCAGATGAAGTAACAAACCAGATATACCTTCCCATCCTAATCAACATTAAAAAAACAATATATAAAAGAATGTTTTGCAGATATGGAACTTTAAGAAGTATAGGGCAATGCTTCCTGAGAGAGGGGAAACAAAGAAAGTGAGCCCAAAATACTCTTAGCTGGTATCTTTCAGGGAATATTGTGAATATGAAGAGGAAAAGGAAGTTCAGGCAAAGTTCACTGGCATCCCTTGAGTTGAAGTGCTAGAGTTGAGTGTCACGGGAGATAAAGTGGCTCAAGATCACAAAGCAGACTACACGAGAGTAGATTGGTAGAGAGACAGACAGAAAGAGACTGATTTTCAGATACTTGCTAAGGATTCCTCTCAAGTCTTAAGCTAAGTAAATACATGCATGAGAGAAAATTTTCTGAGGCTGAAAATCTTATGACTTTCTGGGAAATAATCATAAGAAAAGAGCATAGGGACAATCCTGAAGCTCATGCAGAGCTGGGCACAATTTCTCTTTGCACCATCCAGAGAGAAAAATCCTCATAATTCATGGGACATCAGGCACACTGCTCAGAAGGATATTGCCTCAGTATTGGACAAAATTAACCCTAAACTAGAAATTCTGTTGGCCCCACCAACAAGGCTTAAAGAAAATCCTCAAAGAGTCAAACTAATTTCAAGTAATTTATCTGAATCTCAGAATCTCAGAGCATAGTTTACGAATACATTTAAGGATTCAAAAAAAAAGTTCTGTCATCCAACAAGATAAAAATTACAATGTTGGACACTCAATAAAACATTTCTAGGCATATAAAGAAACTAGAAAGTATGATCCATAATAAGAATAATAATCAATAGGAATATACCAACCTATGATGATAGTCATTGGAACTATATTCCATATGTTCAAGAACATAAACAAGCACATAGCACTTAGCAAAGTTCTGAGCCTAAGAAGTAACAGGGTCATCACCTTGCCCTATTTTCTTTGTTTTATATTTTTTCAACCAACAAAATGTATTAAATTAAAACGTGAGCATATAGAGTCCTACTTTTTGTCACCAACTATCTCTGTTAGGCAACATTTAAATAAATAATCTCTACTAATCTCTAAGATAATATTGTCTTTTTTAAGGAGTAACTTTCCATGTAATTACTTTTCTTTAAGAGATTACTGGCAACACGTACTCCTAGTAAGTCCTCACTTCAAAAATTCGTTGATAGTTTCTTGAAACTATGCAAAATGATGTGTAATGAAACCAAATTTACCCCAGGGTAATTGATATAAATAAGATTTAAGTTCCTACGGCATCTCATCAACATTATAATGAAATAACATTGAGCAAAATGACATTATTTGAAGACCTACTATATTTGTTATTTTTGCAATGACCAGGAAATAATCAACACCTTTTTTCACTATGTCATGCACGTGTCATAAGGAGAAAAAACTTCATAAAGAGTTCATAGAGTGCCATGATCTTTGGTCTCTTCTTATTCTGACTCGCAAAACCCTCTTTTAAAGCCCAGATAGCTGGGTGGCAGTCACCAAATACGAACGGGTATGTCATAGACTAAGAGAAACAGCAGCCTTTTGGGAGAAATCAAAAATGCCAGCCAAACCAGCATGAGAGACTGGACCAGGGGAGAAAAATAAAAAAAAAAATAGGAAGGAATCACAGCTAAAGTCAGAGAGTGTAAAATCATCACCAAAAGAGAGACCATCATAAAACCAGGTAATAACAAAGGGCTGGTTTGTATCGAGGGCTTACTATGTGCTATACACTTGTATTAAAATTATAAAAAAAATTGAATCCTCAAAATAGCCCTATTGGCTAGGTGTTGTCATAAATTTATAGATGAAGGAAATTAATTACGTGAGGTTAAATAGATTGTGAAGCTAGCAAGCTTACTATGTGCTATACACTTGTATTAAAATTGTAAAAAAAAATTGAATCCTCAAAATAGCCCTATTGGCTAGGTGTTATCATAAATTTATAGATGAAGGAAATTAATTATGTGAGGTTAAATAGATTGTGAAGCTAGCAACTGATGGAACTGGCATTAAAACCATGGTACATTTGAAATCAGAGCCCAGACCTCAAGGCACTAGACCACACCGCCTCTTGCTAGAAGAAGCCAAAGGCACAGGGATTTAAATAGTGAGTAGGCAGGAATGGGGGACTAGGCTTGGAACAAAGTTTTAAGAGTATGTCTCCCTCTCTTGCTGCACATGTTTTGTCTTAAAATAGCCATATTCACAAACTATTATCTGACAGCAACAAAAACCAACTAATCCTCACCTAAGCACGCTTCTTTAGGGTCTCATATAGGAATCAGGATGATGCAGTTCTGACTTTTCAGTAAGACTTATTCATAAGACAGTAATGCTTCTTAACAGTTGCCCTGATGATGATAACAATGGTAACTATTATTTTATTGAGCACTTATTATATATCAAAAACTATGATTCACCTGTACAAAATTGGCTAAAATACTTCCTTCTTTGAATAATAATTGCGTGTATGTTTAATGTATTTGTATGTGTATGTTTATGAGCATTTCCAGTTCATGTGTGAACTTTCAAAGTTAATTAAAGTAAGCTTTTTCTTATGACCAGTGGAGAACTACAAGCAGCACAGATTACATGCCAAAATCAATGCCATAATGTTTTCAACATTACATCATAAATTTTATAAACTTACTGAAGATAACGCAATTATACTCTTCTGCCAAAAGGGTGGCTTCTAGACTGGAATTTGGAATATTTATCTCTGTAACATACTATTCTACTGGATAGTAGAAATAAAGGAAAAGAAAGGAAGAAATAATATTTTATATTTTGGTTTAATGCATTTTAATGATCTATAATGATAATTTCATACATAACACTTTCTTATAGTAGTCGATTGACAAAAATAAATTTTGAGGAAGGTTGAGTACACAAAGGTTTTAAATAATATAATAGAAGTCAGAGTGCTACTATCCTCACTAGAGTTAGCAGTGGCTTTCAGTCTAGTTCGCCTAGCTCTTCAATTATTGACTCAAGTCCTGTTTTCCATCAAGTTATTGCCTGTCAAATGTACTGTCATTTTGTTTCCATCCTACCTGGAGGCTGCCAATGACTGGTGGGAAGGTCACTAGCGTCCTTAGAATAGCTATTGGTGTTCTGCTTTCACAGGCTGCCCAGCCCTCCAGATTCGACGTCTGCTCCTCCCCCATCGCTCGCAGCCATCACCTGGGAAACCGGTGGTGACCTCCTGCCCAAGCGAACTCCAGCCCACTGAAGCTGATTTCATGGCAGCTGCGGAGGAGGAAGTTTTGGGGCTGTTGGTGGGAGCAGTGGACCAGGGTACCACGTCGACGCGCTTTTTGGTTTTCAATTCAAAAACAGCCGAACTAGTTAGCCATCATCAAATAGAAATAAAACAAGAGTTTCCAAGAGAAGGATGGGTGGAACAAAATCCTAAGGAAATTCTGTTGTCTGTCTATGAGTGTATAGAGAAAACATGTGAGAAACTTGAACTGCTCAATATTGACAGTTCCAATGTGAAAGCTATTGGTGTCACCAACCAGAGGGAAACGACTGTAGTCTGGGACAAGATAACTGGAGAGCCTCTCTATAATGCTGTAGTGTGGCTTGATCTAAGAACCCAGTCTACCGTTGAGAATTTTAATAAGAGAATTCCAGAAACTAATAATTTTGTCAAGATCAAGACAGGCCTTCCAATTAGCACTTACTTTAGTGCTGTGAAAGTTCGTTGGCTTCTGGACAATGTAAAAAATGTTCAAAAGGCTGTTGAAGAAGGTAGAGCTCTTTTTGGTACTGTTGATTCATGGCTCATCTGGAATCTGACAGGGGGCATCAATGGAGGTGTCCACTGTACAGATGTAACAAATGCAAGCAGGACGATGCTTTTCAACATTCATTCTTTGGAATGGGATAAAGAACTCTGTGAATTTTTTGAAATTCCAATGAAAATCCTTCCAAATATCCGGAGTTCTTCTGAGATCTATGGCCTAATGAGAGCTGGAGTCTTGAAAGGTGTGCCAATATCTGGGTGTTTGGGGGACCAGTCTGCTGCATTGGTGGGACAAATGTGCTTCCAGGATGGACAAGCCAAAAACACCTATGGAACAGGTTGCTTCTTACTATGTAATACTGGTCATAAGTGTGTATTTTCTGAGCATGGTCTTCTGACCACAGTGGCTTACAAACTTGGCAGAGAGAAACCTGTATATTACGCATTGGAAGGTTCTATAGCTATAGCTGGGGCTCTTGTTTCCTGGCTAAGAGACAATCTTGGAATTATAAACACAACACATGAAATCGAAGAACTTGCTAAAGAAGTAGGTACTTCTTATGGTTGCTATTTTGTCCCAGCATTTTCAGGGTTATATGCACCTTACTGGGAGCCCAGTGCAAGAGGGATCATCTGTGGGCTCACTCAGTTCACCAACAAACGCCATATTGCTTATGCTGCATTAGAAGCTGTTTGCTTCCAAACACGAGAGATTTTGGATGCCATGAACCAAGACTGTGGGATTCCACTCAGCCATCTGCAGGTGGATGGAGGAATGACCAGCAACAAAATTCTTATGCAGCTACAAGCAGACATTCTTTATATCCCCATAATGAAGTCCTCCATGCCAGAAGTGACTGCTCTAGGAGCTGCCATGGCAGCAGGGGCTGCAGAAGGAGTTGGTGTTTGGAATCTGGAACCCGATAGTCTGTCAGCCCTCACAATGGAGCGGTTTGAACCCCAAATCAAGGCTGAGGAAAGTGAAATTCGTTATTCTACCTGGAAAAAAGCTGTGATGAAGTCTATGGGTTGGGTTACAACAGAGTCTTCAGAAAGCGGTGATCCTAGTATCTTTTGTAGTCTACACTTGGGCTTTTTTATAGTGAGTAGCATGGTAATGTTAATCGGAGCAAGATACATCTCAGGTGTCCCATAAATAATACCAACTCTGGATTCCAACACTGTGAACTCTTTACCTAACAGGAGACTCCAGCTATTCTCTCTCATAATGTGATGACACTATTCATAGACTCTGATTTTATTTATAAGCCACTTGCTGCATGACCTTCCAAGTAGACCTGTGCCTTGAAATAAAAAAAAAAATCAGTAGAAAGAAAAAAAATCGCATTGATGTTTCTGGCTAGTTTTTAAAGCTCTCCATAATTTTCTTAAGGCTAAATAAATCTTACCTCTCACTATGCTTCAACATAAACTTTATTTGTCAGTTGTTCTAATTTCCTCCCTGATCCTCATGTTCCCATTCCTGACCCCTTAATTACATACACACATGACTTACTATTGCCCACTCAGGTTCATTTGTGAATGCTACTCTTTAAGAAAATTCTATACTGATTTCTTTTCCAGCCATTCACCTCTTATTTATTTTCAAATGTTATGGTCTGAATGCATCCCCCCAAAATTCATACCCTGACACCCAAAAGTGATGATATTAGGAGGTATGGCCTTTGAAAGGCAAACAAATCATGTGGATAAAATCCTTGTGAAAGGGATTAATTAATGTCTTAGAAATGAGCTTCCGGAAAGATCCCTAACCCTTCTGACACATGAAGACTTAGTGAGAAGAAGTTGGCTATAAACCAGAAAGAGGCTCTCTCACTGACCAGAGCAACAGAAAATACATTTCTGTTGTTTATAAGCTATACAGTCTATAATATTTTGTTATAGCAGCTTAAATAGATTAAGACATCTTCCAATACTTATTAAAATATGACATCTTTCAAAAAGCACTTTATTTTTTTATTTAGTTATTTTTCAATTACAGTTTTTTCTCTATTTCTCCCATCCCAGCCCACCCCGCCCCATGCTGCCCACCTCCCTCCCATTTCCACCCCCCTAAGTTATTGTCCCTGTGTCCTTTATACTTGTTCCTCTAAATCCCTCCCATTTTTTTCCCCTTAAATTCCCTCCCCTCTCCCCTCTGGTTGCTGTCCCCTTGTTCTCTATTTCAGTGTCTTTGTTTTTATTTTGCTTCCTTATTTGTTTTGTTATTTAGTTTCCTGTTAAAGGTGAGATCAGTGGTATTTGTCTTTCGACCCTTTGCAACAACATGGATGGAACTGGAAAGCATTATGCTGAGTGGAATAAGCCAGGTGTTGAAAGTTAAAAAGCATTTTCTGATTACCCCATACCCTACCTCCTTCCTCTTAATTTCTAAAGACAATTACATTTTTGTGCATCACTTAAATTTTAGTTACCTATTTATGTGTAAGTATTCCCAAGCTCAGTGGCTTACAAAAAAGGATGTAAGGATCCTAGATGACCTCACCTACATCTCTGACACATGATACTGGTATTGGTTAGGAAACCTCCATCCTTATCCACAGGCCTCTCATCCTTTGATTGACTGGATCAATTTCTTTCTGTGTCAGTTCCAGGATAGACTGTTATGGTAGAAGCTGCATGCCTTTCAAGATTCAGACTCCAGAACTCAACCTAGCATTATTTCTACCATGTTCTATGGTCATAGTTAGTCACAAGTCCAGCCCAGACTCACAGGTCAGGGAAATAGTGTACATCATTTGGTAGGATAAGCAGCAAAGTCACACTGCAGAGAATGGGAAGAGAAAAAAAACTGCAGTCATCTTTGAAAATAGTTACAACACTTGGGATATAATGGCACATTCTCTCTTGTTGCTCTCCAGTCACATGTGTCTTAAGGTAATTGGTTCCCCAATTCTAACATAAGTTCCTTGAAGTTAAAATTCAAAACATGTAACTTTCTTGAAATTTCTTAAATACTTATTTCATAAGTGGGCATATATTAAGCTTTTAATGAATATTTACAGTATTAATTACACAACACTTTGCCAGACATTATTCCAAGTCACTTAATTCTAAGTATATTAAGTAATTTAATTCTCACAGTGACTGTCTGAGAGTATTTTTAGCCTCATTTTACAAAGGAGGAAACTGTGGCAAGGTGTGGTTAAATGCTTTTCCTAGGGTTCCCAACTACCAAGTTATAAAGTTGATGGACAAACCCAGGCAATCTGGTTCCAAATTTCACACTTTTAACCAATATATTTTATTTTTATTGATGATACAAATTACCATCATTATTTATATATATATATACAAACATATATTCCTTAAAACTACCTAGAAAATATTTTTACATCATTGGGATGACAGAAAAGAAAAATGATATATTTTTAGACAGAATGGGTTTGGATAAAACACCAAATTCTTTTTGAAAAAAACATAGACAAATCTAATAATCACTGATATCAAACCTAAAGTTAAACTCCTCCTTTTCATTTTTTCAATTGTTTTTAGTTTTTCAATTAGAGTTAACCTTCAATATTAGCTTCAGGTGTACAGCATAATGGGAAGTTGTACAACTTATGAAGTGATCCCCTGACAAGTCTAATACACACCATAAGCCCCTCTGTTCTCTCCCTCTTTTTGGCCCTCTAAAATCTCCCACAATGATGCAAACACCAGCCTTTTTTGGGTATATTGACAGGACAAACTTCCAGTTAGTCATATCCTCAATGAAAAATATCTTATCTGAGCTTTGGTAATATCCTCCTGCCATTCACATTAGCAAGAAATTAGCACATGTCACAAATAAGACCCATACCCACATGGGTCAGTTAATATGTCGCCATTTCATCTCTTTCTTAACCTGCTTGCCCTTAGTTACAACAGGATTTAGAATGAAAGACTAGAGTAGATCTGGTCCGCCCATTATTGCTTCTGGGAAAAATCCCAAAGCACATGCATTTAGATGAAGACAATTTTTAAAACCTTCATGTAATAGGAAAAACTTGAAATCACAGAGACCTAACGTCAGAATTTGAGTGAACCCAGAAAATGCACCACTTCTGTATCATCTTCCTTTTGTAGGAATTCAACATGACATGTTCTTCTCAAAAAAAAGCATAGTCTTGAGCTGCTGGATATCTTTTTAATAAATATCCTATTCTTTTTCTTGTATCCAGATAACCGTGATGTTGCTGGAGCAGTTTTCCTTATGATTTTCCTCCTATAAGCAAGGGAATGTGTAGTAATAAAACCTAAGTAATTTAAAATATTTAATGCATAGCATGTGCTACTGGTATCCAGACATGATCTATTTGATGATACTTTAACCATGAAATAATCAAGCAGATAAAAATCCGTTGACAGAATAACAGTGGAAAGAGCCATTAGAATTCACGGTAAAAGGTAGGTAAATGTCTTTCTGAGTCAGACATAGACAAGATGTTGTCTGAGTCTCTTGGCATCGTGTAGGTGATGCTCTCAAAGTCAGAGTGTTCTCACAAACTACTATGGGTTATTTGTGTCCCTTCCACAAGATACTGAAATCCTAACTCCATACCAGTGAATGTGATCTTATTTGTAGATAATTAAGTTAAGATATGGTCATTGGGGTTGACCCTAATCCAATAAGTCTGTGTCCTGACAAAAAGGAGAAATTTGGACACAAAGATAGCACACAGAAAGGGAAGGCCATATGAAGCTACAGGGGGAAGATGGCTATCTACAAGCCAAGAAACACCAAAGAGTGGTAGCCAGCCCCAAGAATCTAGAGGAAAAGTGGAGTAGATTCCCCCTCACTTCCCTCAGAAAGAACCAACCCTGCTGACACCTTGATTTCTACTTTCCATAACAGTAAATTTGTACCGTTTACCACTAGTTTGAAAAGATATATGTACTCCCATGTTCACTGCAGCATTATTTACAATAGCCAAGATGTGAAAGCAACCTGATTCCATCAACAGATGAATAGATAAAGAAGATGTAGTATAGCCCAGGCCAGGTAGCTCAGCTGGTTAGAGCATTGTCCTGATACACCAAGGTCAGGGTACATACATGAATCAATCAATGAATTCACAAAATAAGTGAGACAACAAATCAGTGTCTCTTTCTCTCTCTCCTGTCTCTACTCTCTCTCTAAAAATCAATTGAAAAAAATTTTTAAAAGATGTAGTACACAGGGTCTGACTCAACACCCCTTTTTATTACAAAATCTTCTATTACAAAATCATAAGCATCTAATTCTGTAACATAATATCACACGTAAGTATACCATATGAAATTTTAGGTGAAATGTTCAAATTAATACTATAAATTATTACACCCATATTACTACCCTACCAACCACACTCGAGCAGGTGTTACTTCTGCTGGACCCTGTATACAGGGTGGGGCAAAAGTAGGCTTACACTCGTCCATATAGAAAATAATACAGTGATTGTTAAATAATAATAGAATAAATTCTGTGTTTCACATACAATTGTAAACTTACTTTTGCCCCACCCTGTATTTGTGATGGAATTTTATTCAGCCATAATAAGAATGAAATGTTACCATTTCTAGCAACACTGATGGACCTGGAAGGTATTATGCTAAGTGAAATAAGTCAGACAGAGAAAAACAAATACCATATGATTTCACTTATATCTGGAATCAAAAACGAAGTAAACGAACAAACAAAACAGAAATAAACTCAGATACAGAGAATAAATTAATGGTTACCAGATGGGAAGGGATTGGGAAAGATGGGTAAAAAAGGTTAAAGGGACTAAGAAGTACAAACTGTCAGTTATAAAAATAGTCATGGGGATGTGAAGTACAGCTTAAGGAAAATAGTCAATAATATTGTAATAACTATTTATATTGTCAGATAGGCACTAGCCTTATCAGCATGATCTCCTATCAGGAATATGAAAATCTAATCACTATGTTGTACACCTGAAACTAATATAATATTGTATGCAAACTATAACTGAAAAATCAATTTTTAAAAAATTGTGTTGTTGAAGGAATCTAGAGTGTGGGAGTTTATTATGGCCACCCCAAGAAACTAATACCGTAGTGTTTGTACCATTTTTGTTACTTCAGCTCTAAATGGCTAGAGCTACTACAGGATAAACTCTGGTACCAGTAACAAGGTTCAGATTATTTAGA